TCAAAAATTATTATAGGTTGTGCCACTGTGAAATTGAAATAACTGACAGGCACAAGTCACCTGTGTCCTAATGACCCTTTGGATGATGATTCCAACTCTTGACAACTTCTCCATTGGTTTTCATGATGAAGGAAGGAAATTGGGACAAATTGAGCAAAAGGTGAATTGTATTAAAGCCCTTGCTTTGATGGGGCCCCTGGTATCTTCCCACTCTAATTCATCTACTCAGCTGTCAAATTGATCTCCCTAAAAGGAAGGTCTGACCAGGTCACTCTCCTTGTCATTCAATAATCTCCAGCATCTTCCCATTACCTCTAGGGTCAAATATAAAATCTTCTGGCTTTTAAAGGTCTTCATAACCTGGCCCCGTCCTTCCTTTTCAGTTTTCTTCTACTTTACATACTTTGTGATCCAGTGACCCTGGACCCTTGCTGGCCTTCTTTCTGTTCTTTGACCATGATGCTCCATTTCCTGACTTGGAATGTTCTGACTGTCCCTGGTGCCTAGGACTGTCTCTCTCTCCTCATAGCTTTCCTAACTTCCTTCAAGTCTCACTTTAAGGGCTTAGCTTCCGCAAGAAACCTTTCCAAGTCTTTATTGCCTTCCCCTTGAGATTATTTCCAGCTTACCCTGTATATCCATCTATTTTGTACATAGCTGTATGTTGTATGTTGTCTCTACCCTTAGACTATGAGCTGCTTGAGGCTATGGACTTTTTTTTTCTTTCCTTCCTTTGTATCTTTAGTGCTTAGCACAGTGTCCAGTGCTTCATAAAAGCTAGTTGACTAACTGGCAGGGGAATTATTTAGTTGGTTTTATCCAATGGGCAGAATGTGATAAGAGTTTCATATAACTTTATTAAGGACTCAGTATTATGTCTGCTTCCAAAAACTCTTGTAGCAAAATTCAAGATCACTTGGTATTTTCTAAAATTAAACCTGTGGAGTAGTGATATTGACATTGGAGATTGCATTCTCCATGTGAATGACTTGAGACACTAAAAAGAGTCTCCAAGGACTAACTGGGCTGGGCAAATACAGCATTGGGATGCCATTTTTTTTTCCAGCTACAGGCAGACAGTAGGATGACCTTTTTACATTGCTGCTTCCTATTTTCTATTTAACAGTAAAAAAAGCCAGACACACAAAAATGAAATAGTTATTGAAAGTAAAAGTTTTTTAAAAATAGTAAAAATTCCAATGCCTTCTCATGACATAAAGGTCATCCTGGGTTCTTGAAGGCTATGACAGTGGAGTTCAAGCTCTAACAGATCTTGCCAAGCTAGAATGGATGGCTTCAAAGGGATGGAGTAGGGGTCTGTGTGTGTGTGTGTGTGTGTGTGTGTGTGTGTGTGTGTGTGTGTGTGTGTGTGTTTGCTGAGTATGTTGGGGAGGGTGTGGAGGTCTTGATGAGTAGTTACATTCAAATATCTGAAAGACTGTCATCTGAAAGTAAAAAGAGATGTGTTCTGTTTAGAGCCAGAGAACAGAATTAGGGGTGATGCCTGGAAATTACAAAAAGCTAAATTTGAGTTGGTGGAAGGAAATACTTTCAAAGGCAGAAGAGCTGATTTGGGAGGTTGTGCGTTACCCTTTGCTAGAGGTTTTCAAGCCGAAGTTGGGCATGCAGTAGAGGGAATTCTTATGCAATTATGAGTTGGATTGGAAGGCTTCTAAGGTTCTTTCCAACTTGGAGATTCTGAGGATTTGTACAAAACCAACTGCGTCTTTTGCATTTTTCTTTATCACCAGCTTGGCCAAGATCAGTCAGTCAATAAGCATTTATTTATTAAGCACGTTATTAATCTAGGCACTATGCTAAGCACTGGGGACACAAAGAAAGGCAAAAACAGTCCCTTCCCTCAAAGAGTTTACAATCTAATGGGGGAGATAATGGGCAAACAACTATGTACATTACATACAAGATATATTCAAGATAAATAAAGAGGGAAGGCATTAAAGGGGTAGGAGTATGAGAAAGTCTTCTTCCAGAAGGTGGGATTTTAGCTGAAGGAACTTGAAAGAAGCTAGAGAAGCCAGGAGAAGTAGATGAGTAAGGCAAACATTCTAGTCATAGGGGGCAACCAGTGCAGAGGCATGATGTGGGGGAGATGGAGTGTCTTGTGGGAGGAACAGTGTCCCAGGACTGCAAAGTATATGATGGAGAGTGAAGTATAAGAAGACAAGTTGAGGTTTCTTTTTTGGCCACAACAGCTCTTGAAGATCCTTTATAAAGTCATTTAAGTGATTGAACACTGCTTTAGTCAAGGAAACACCTGCATAGAGGACTTCGCAGAACCGAAGGATGTAAAATTTCTGATGAGATTGAAAGGCTTGCTAAGGGTCAGGCAAAGTCCTTGGCATAGACTAGAAAAAGCTACAAGGTGCAAAAAGGAAAGTGGCCAGAGGGGCCTTGAGGCAGCTAGATTTCTTTGTGGAGAAGGGCTTTGTAAATGGCTGGATAGAAAGAGAGACTCCTCAGATGGTGGGTACCTTCCCTACAGTTTATATTTGAAATCAGAAGCTTATGTATTATGTATCCAAGAAGGTAAAGGATAAGGTCTAGACCTGTAATTTATTTGGTATTCATTCATTAAATAAACATTTATTAAGCACCACAATGCCAGGCACTGTGCTAAGCATTGGGGATACAAAAAGAGGCAAAAGACAGTCCCCGCCCTAAAGGAGTTTACAATCTAATGGAGGAAACTACATGCAAACAAACATGTATGAAGCAAGCCATACACAATACAGGATAAATAGGAAATAATTAGCAGAGGGAAGGCACCAGAATTAAGAGAGTTTGGGGAAGGCTTCCCGTAGAAAGTGTGTCATTAGTTGGGACTTAAAGGAAGCCAGTGAGGTCAGTAGTTGGAGTGGAGGAGGAAGCATGTTCCAGTATGGGGGAACAGCTACAGAAAGTAGGAAGCTCCCTCCAGTATGAAGTGGCTGGACCTTGCCCTGAGTTTATCTTTACCTTCCCCCATCCAAGAGGCAGCATGGCTTATTGGATAGGGAGCCAGCTTTTTCAGTCAAGAAGACCTAGGTTCAAGTCCTATTTCTGACACTTATTAGCTGTGTGAGCAGGGATAAGTTATCTAATAATATGTATTGAAGGTAAAATTAAGTTTTTATTTTGGAAGGGGAGGGGAAATGGTTGAAGATCTGTACATGACTGTATGACCCCAGGCAAGTCACTTAAACACCCACTGCCAACTCTCTGAGATATAAATTGCCAAGAATGTGCCTCTTGGGTGGAGGAAGGTAAAGATAAACTCAGGGCAAGGCCTAGTCACTTCATACCAGACTTCATGTAGTCCCAGAGCTAAAATGATAGAAAAATAGCTGCTTACCTCTCCCAGAGCACAAATTGTACCTTGTGAAGCTGGGAGTAAAAAACTAAGCTGATTAGAGTTTAATTTTATTTGTTAGGGTTTACAGAGTAAGGTTACAATTTCATTTTATCTAAAATGAATCTATGATTTAATACCTGTGGCTCTTCTATGAAGTTATTTGTGAAAGGAAATTGATATTTGTAAGAGGTAACATGGTTTATTGGATAGACGGCCGACTTTGAAGTCAGGGTGACCTCAATTCTGGTTCTGCTTATGACACATCCTAGCTATGTGACATAACCTTTTAATGTTTCAGGAAACTTTCTAGGTTTCTAAGTTACAGGCAAGTTGGAGATCTGTAATGGTAGAGAGAATTTTCACATTGGGAATTACCTCGCCTGATGAAATCATAAGCTTGAACCAAAAATAAGCTACATCCATCACAGACCTCCAACTTGTTTCTTTTTATGTTATTATTAAGCAGGAGACGAATTCATCTTTAGGGTTTATAAGAGAAGAAAACCCTTAATTTTAGATATAATACTTACGTTCTTATCTTATTTATATAGAAGGGTAAGAAATAAATGGTGAATCAAAAAACAATAGATGAAGAGTATTACATCAATATATAAAACATTAACCAAGAAAACATTTCATATTTAACCTAGTGGATATGTCTTAGGGAGTGTCCTGAGGATCAGCTAGGTGAGGTGATTGTTTAAAGTCATACAGTGAGGTCTGATCTGAACCCAGGTCTTCCTGACTCATGCACTCTATCCACCACAGTTATCCCTTCCACATCGCAGCTTTCCCCATGGCAGTTTCCATATATCCCAAATCATATAAGAAATTAAATGGGAATTTTTTGGGAGTTTTGCGGAAGCCACATAGGAAAAGTGAAGGTCAGCAGATAACAAGGAGCCTGTGACCAAATACTTAACACAAATTTCACAATAAGGTATTGTAAACACCCCATAAAAAAAGAAAAAAATTTCCGATTTCTTCGTCAAAATGAAGGGAGGGCCAAAAATTTTTACAGGGATTTTCCAGATCGCTGGGGCTCTGGGTCCCTAACCCCCTCCATGTGGAAAGGATAACTGTATACCACACCCACCTCTCAGGATTATTTGAAAGCTTTTTTTTTTTTTTTTTTTTTTACGATTATTACTTAAGATTTTTATCATGAAATCACATTAATTTAACAAAAAATATTTTGCTAAGCACTACAGAAAGCTTTTCTAAAGAACCATTTCCCCTCCTCTTCCAAAATAAAAACTATCTTTACCTTCAATACATATTATTTATAAATTTTCTTTTCTTTTCTTTTTTTTTAGTAGCTTAGTACTTTCCATGTGACAGTATAGATAAAAAAAAAAATAACATGCAGAGAGCTTGAAAGGTGTGGACCCTGCTGCTTTATAATTTCATCAGCACTTCTATCAGTGCTTTTAAAATAGCCGATTAGACAGCTTCAATTTTAGATGTGAAATGAAAAGAAGGAATCTCATGCCCAGTATCTCTCTGAGCTCCTAGGGAGTGTGTCTGCCCTTAGGGAAAGCCAGATCTTATTTTATCTGTCCAATATTGCATAGCTAGACCGTAGATGTGTAGAAAGACGATGGTTTTTAGTTCCACTGCACTCAGTTGTGCAAACTTATCTTTTTAGGGCCAAAGAAGAACCCAAACCCCAGGCGACGCAGTAAGTAAACCGAGAGTGCAGTAGACTTCCTCGCCCTCTGTCCCACTCCGCTTCCCACCCCTCTGACGGTATTAGCTTAACACTAATACTTGGTAGACTGCAGCTAGTGTTGTCATCTGCTGCTTTCTCGACTGGCTTGTAAGACAGCTAGCTGCCTGTAGCTTCTTACTTCATCCACGATACTGGCTGGATGTGGTTTTTTGCTGCCTGCTTGTGGATTGGTGAAGTGTCAAACCTCTATTTCTCTCTACTCTAATTGGCTGACAGATGATCGCAGCTCACACTCCCATTGGCTGTAGCTTTCTCCCCGCCTGTCTCTTTCTCTTTCTTTTTTTTTTTTGTTGTGATTGGATAAGAAAACATTTGACCACAGAGTATTATTGATTTGGTAATTTAGTCACATTATTTGCTTATTTAAACAGGTGGTTTCCCTTTAGTGGGATCACTGAGCTGGTAAATAACGTTCTACAACCACAGCACAAACAACAAAATGAAAAGGAGTCCCAGACGTAAGTAAGCTGCTCTATGTAGACTAAATATTGTCTCTTAGTATAACACACTGTAGAGCATGTTTTTTTTAATTGCCCATTGAAAAGAATAACCTCAGGAAAGTTTCCACGTTAGACTGTGACGACCTTTGATTGACATCTGGCCCCTAGAAATTAAAAAGAAGGAACATAGGATATTAGGATTTCCAAGGTGGATAGAGATAATATATAGTCTAGTTCTCTCCTATTCCACATGAGAGAACTGAGATTGGGAAAGTAACTTCCGCAAGGTCATATAGGGTGTGTCTGAGTCCAGGTTTTCTGACTCCAAATCCAGTTTTCTTTTCTTGGCACCATGCAACAAGTTTTAAAAAATGGAAACTATGGAGGAGATAAAAAGACAGTTTTCTCTGAAATTCCTGTATAAATAGTATAAACAGTATGCACTATTGAAAATATTTCTATTTCCAGTAACAGACTCAATTATTTGTCTCATCTGAAAACTTTAAAAATTGTCTAGACCTTTGATGCTTTAATAATTTCATTTAATGATTTCTTTCATAGTCAAAACATTTATAATGTCATTGTGTGAATAATCCCTCCATCTATGCATATTGTGATCTTTCCATACCTTAGTATATGTTTTTCAAGAATTGCTACAGTTAAAAACAAGTCATCACCTGTTGGCCAACATCCTCATGATGAGCCTTTCTGAGTTTATCTAGGCTGCTCCTAGGACAAAGTATGTCCCTTAGCCTATAAATGAAGCTTATACAACAAAACCTTTAAGAGTCCATGGCCACCTCCAAACTACAATAGAGCATTGGAGTAGAACTTTGGTTCAATTTAAAAATTACTAGTCGAACTAAAAAAATATGAAAAACTAGTCATCATGAAAAATTTCTAACAAGTCTTACGCAAGGAGATGAGAACTTATGCCAAAGACAAGAACTGTTTTCCTTTAGGTATCAACAAAAGAAACTTCTTTCCTCCCCTCATGATTCTATTTTGGGAGGAGAGTACTAATCCTTCCTTCCTTCCCTCCTTCCTTCCTTCCTTCTTTCCTTCCTTCCTTCCTTCCTTCCTTCCTTCCTTCCTTCCTTCCTTCCTTCCTTCCTTCTTTTCCTTCCTTCCCTCCTTCCTTCCCTCTATCTTCCTGTCTTTGTTCTCTCTCTTTTTTCTTTCTTCCTTCTTCCCTTTCTTTCTTCCTCCTTCTTCCTCTCCCATCCTTCCTTCTTTTCCTTCCTTCCATTCTTTCTTCTCTCCCTCTGTTTCCCTCTCTCCCTCCATTTCTCCTTCTATTTCTCCCTCCCTTTCTCCCTCTCTCCTTTCTTTCTTTCTTTCTTTCTTTTTCTTTCTTTCTTTCTTTCTTTCTTTCTTTCTTTCTTTCTTTCTTT